ATCGATGTTGATGATGGAGCGGGATACACAGGCAAGTTATCATCACGGTACATAATAACATACATACACGTACATATAAACACATACACAGAGTTGAGCATGTATTAATGAAGGAGAACTCTTCAGGCTTTAAGAAATGTTCTGTACTGTAGAGAAGACTGCAGCAGGCGCTGTAAACGCCAAATCATAGGTTCTTGAGCAGAGTTTGTTAAAATACATTAGCATGCTCTTCCTCTATATTGCTGTCTTTTGAAAATAGCGCGGGGGCATGGCAGAATACAAAAAAGCACTGCTAGAAAGCAAAAAGCCAGTAAAAAACATTTTTCTTAAAATATAAGGCTATCTAACGGTTACAGGTAATAACGTCATAGCCTCAGTTTTTCTTAAACTAACACTAAGAAATAGGGGATGGTTCACCTCTGTTCTAAACCTCTTTGTCTTATACAAATGTACACCTTTCAAAAGCTGGAAAGAAAAAGAGAGATGGAAGTGGAGTAGTGAATGGAAAGACATAATATTCCTCCAGGATACGAAAAGAAATTGCTCACAAATTAAGTACAAAATCTTTTGTAATGGAGTGTTTCCTGATATAGGTTTCCATAAGATGAGAGAACAGTGATATGGCTTCTTACCAAAGAGCCATGTTCGACTTCCCTTCCAAACGCAAAATAATTAAGCGATAATTTTAAGTTGAAGGAATTGTTAATGCCCAAAGCAATACTGAAAAGCTATACACCCTTACAACACCTACATAAAAGTACACAAAGTACAATATATTTGAAAAGAACCTGTTATGAATACCCACCTTCTTCAGAACTGTCAATACCTAGCTCCTCCTTAAGTGTTATGCAAAGTAAATTGCCTCATATTTTCAGCTTCATCCTTTGTTCCAATTTCCTCTGTGCACTTTTGTGGATAATAGGCATACTGATATGTATTACTGTAGTAGTTTCATAAAATTTTTCTACACAATATATTGTATAATGACTGACTGTAATGTGATCCTTTTTTGTAGGCTATGCCCTGCTAGCTGCTCATTATAAACATTGTTATTGTAGCAGTGATGCACTTAAGAGATTATTCTTTTTAAGACATGGTAAGGAAGGGCAGTGTATTAGTTTGGTGCGAACTACTGACATAAATAGCATTTTTTATGTGTGCATTGCTAGATGCAGCTTTAAGGACAAAGCTGAGGTGGCCACCTACACATTGGGAGCTTCGAAGATTCAGTGCATCCCTACTAGGCTTTTTAGAACATACCAAATACAGCAAACAATTAGGTGCTAAACAGTGCCTACCAACACAGGATTCATTTTTTTATTCCTGGTATTGATTTCTATTCTCTATTGAGAAAATAACTTTGATAAAATCACTACCTGTGATAAGACATTGGTAACTCTTAATATGGTCTGATTATCTCTGCTTGAAAAAAACTTACATTATTGAGCGGTATATAAACAGTGTATAACTGTCATGTAACCCACTTGCTTCCCTTTGCTTCCTTAGCTCTTTATGAGTTTAACTAATAAAAATAACGTATGTTAAAAATAGTCTCAATTTGTTCTCTGTCTGAACAAACAAGAATCATAGAAAATGGAGGGTTGCTAGAAGACAATTACAAGATTGGCATAAAAAAAGGTTTCTTCCTCATACTATAGAAAAGGAACAACCTATTTTTATTTGTCTGTAGTGGTCAGTATGAATAGCAGGAGTCCTACTAATAGTAAAGGTAACGTTTGCCTAAAAGATAATGGGTAACTATGCCTTTCTGTTGAGCTTAGCATCACTGAATGGAAGAGTATGCTTGGCTGTATTTGTCAGTTCATAACCGATGTACTTTTGAAATAAAGCAGTTCTCAAGTCACAATTGGTATATCAAATTTTATCAGAAACATTTATAAAACAACTGCTTTTTCTGATGTACTGATTTGCCAGAAAAGAATTTGGTGGACATTTTGTGGAAAACTCCAGCAACAGCAATTCGAAGTTTTGCAGCCAAGTATACACGTCGTATAAAAAATGACTGGAGAAATTTTGCAGAAGTGTCATCCTAAAGAAAAGAAAAATTTTGACAGAAATTTATTCTCTGTAACTCTAACTTTTAGGACTGCTGTTATTTTTTTCATCTCCTCATCCCGTTTTCCGTGATTGTCTTCAAAATTTTCTTTCTTTTAATCTGTCTTACCATCTGTTCATGATATATTTCTCCTTCAACTACCCTACTTTTAAGGTCTTTTAAGGTTACTTTCATTCCTTTTCCCATCTCATCTGCCAAAGTGATTAGTATGAGAATAAGAATTAACAGAACACTTAATACTGGCATTTAAAGTGTCAGCATTTAGCTTGAGGATCTGTGATCCCAGGCAGCGTACAACAGCTAAAGAAATACTGATGATTTGGAGTCATAGCGTGAAGCTGCTTATAGATAAAGAACAATGTCTCATTTTCCCCTTTAGCTTTGTAACCATTCTAACTTTTTGCTCTAAATGGAAGATCAGATATAGGATATAGATATATGCATTAGCTTAAAAATAGTGAGTTAAGATCAGTATAATAAAAGACAGGTAACTTTTATTAAATTATTGTTTCTATATAGGCATAGTCTCATTTGGAGTGCTAAGTATTAGACTAAGTAAAGCACTAGTTAATGTACTAGAGATAACAACTTTGATTTAACGAAAAGTTAAATCTAGCCACATTTAAATGTCTCTGTTTTTACGGCAACATCAATATCAATACCAGTCCTAAAAAGAAAGATACTCAACATATGGACAATTTTTTATAAATGAGCTTAAATATTCAATTTATATCCATCACCTCCAGTTCTTTAGATGCTGGATAAGAGAGATTAAAAATTAAAGATACATCTTTGTTCTATCTTAAAGATTTATCTGTTTCGGGACCCTCAATTTTTATGGGACTTCCTAGGTCCTCACACATTCAGTTTTCTTGAAACAGGATACTAGTAAGAAATAATCAAGAAAGGAAGGGACAGTGTATACAGCTGTGTCAATAAATCTTGGGTAAATATCCTTTTTAATAAGGCTTTACAATTAAGATAGATAGTCAATACCAGAGAGTGCATGAAGTTTAGTGTTGCTACTGTTCATAAAATAAGAGATGGCAAGTGAAAGGGGACAATATATGTAGCATCCACAATAATGGAAGATAGTAAGATTCTAGATGGAAAAATGATTTAAAAAAACACTACACATGCTGTCTGTGGACGCACCTAAACCATGTTCCTTATATGAACAGTGAATTGCTCAAAAAATTGCCATAGTAAAAACTGCAGTTTCAATAATCCACTGTATCTTCGGAAAGCATTCACGAGCTTCAAAAAGGAATTTACTAATTGTTAGTAGCTTCAATATTGCAGATGAGGTTGCCATTTTTACTTTGGCGTGTTTTGTACATGTTATTTTAGACTTCATTTTGTTTTCTTTCCCCCTTTGCACATAGTCAAAAATCTAGCGTAAAATAAGACAGAAAGCAGCAATAAGTGCGCTGCAAGGAAGGGGACGAGACATCCACTGGGAAAACAAGGAGATAGGGCTGAAAATCACGAAGCGCACTGATGCTTTCCTCTGTAACGCTCACTAGGCATCGGATTTGCCCATACCACGTTTTAGCGGGAACTGAAGTTCACATGGCTCAAAGGATGCCAATGCAGAGACGACTGGCCCGAAAGCCTTGCCAGCCTTCCCGCCCAGGGACATCACTTGCAGAAGTTCCCGCCACAATTCCACAAAACACTGCAGCGTAGCCCGGAGGGAGCCGTGCTGCTCACCCTTCCAGCACGCAAACCCACAGGTTCGCCTTCCCTGGCCGCGCAGTTTGAATTTTGCTGTAAGGTGTGTTCATCATGCCCCTGAGGCTCGCCGCCTCTGTCACGGCGACCAGCGGCA